CCTACCAGGCTCCTCCGTCCATGGGATTTTCCAGGCAAGAGTACTGGAGTGGGGTGCCATCACCTTCTCCGAAGAGTTTACTAGTCAATGGTAAAAATATACCACCTTTAAGAAATAAGGGGTTGATGGGAATGTGAATGGAATGTCCTTGTGCCAGGCACTAAGAGCTTTACATCTGTTAACTCATTTAGGCCTCACAACACCCCCATCCCATTTTACAGAGGCAGAAAACAAGACACAGAGAGGTGAAGTAACTTACCCAACCTCACACAGCAAGGAAACTGATGGACCCAGACCAAGATCCCGGGCAGGCAAAGTCCGAAGTCCATGCTTTCACCCTCTACCATAAACAGGTTGATAGACATTTGCCCAGGGTGGGGTGTGGGGGGCTAGGATATACACATGACACGAAACCATAGGCTTTGTGGGGTTTCCAATTTCACTGCTACGCACCTGTGGTCTACCCCAGGGCTGTGCCTGTGTGGTCATTGCATGTGGATCATGTCTGTGCAGAAATGTGTCTAAAGGCCGCATGTCACACGCTCGAAGAACCCAGATACCATGTGTTCAGAATGTGTGTGCTGTGTACAATGTCTGTGTGTGCACCCAGCGTGTATTTCTGCAGCGGTGTTGTAGGAGCACACATCACACACCTTTGTGTAGCTGTCATTACGCCTTGACAAAAGCTAACTATTCTGGAGGGATGTAGGACTTATTTCCCCTTTATTAGAAAGTGAGGTGCAGATCTGGAGCAGCTGCATGACTGGAAGCCTACAGGCCAGAAGAGTGTGAACAGTATATGATGCAAGCATATACGCACATGTGTGTAACTGTGTGTGTGTGTGTGTGTGTGTGTGTGTGTGTGTGCTAGGTACACCCACACGCCTGTGTGTCAACAGTACCCGGGTGAATGCCCACACAGGGCATTGGTAGCTGTATGTGGGTGCATGGAGGTTATATGTGACCTGTGTGTGATAAACACACGTGCACGTACAGGCGTGTATGTGTCCGTAGGCGGAGAACTATATAGGCAGGCACACTCAAGAGGACACGTGGTGGGTGCCAGGACCGCACAGTGAAACCTGACTTCCACTCCTGCCTCTGCCTCGGTCTGCGGTGCGACCTTGGAAGTGCTGCCTCATCTCCCGAGGCTCAGAGTGTGCATCATAAAATGGGCGAGTGCGGAGGATGAGGGAATAGAGCCGCGAAACCCTAGGCGCCCAGCGCATGCGCACTACTTGAGGAGGCACTATTCATGTGCACACAGATGTGTGCACCACGAGGGTGTGTACATGGAGCCGTGTGTGCTCCCAGGGTGTGGCGTGTCGGGGGTGGGAGTGGGTGAACACGGGTGTGTGTGCAGGTGCTGTTCACACTGCGGGTGTGTTCCCAGGCTGTAGGGGACACAGTCGTGGAAGTGTGTGTGCGCGCTGTTGCACAGTGCGTGCATGGGGCTGGAGGGGTGGCTGGGCCCCAGGCCCCTGGTTTGGGGAGAGGATGGAGTTGGGGGCTCTGGCGGGGAGGAGCGTGTCGGGGGTGGGAGTGGGTGAACACGGGTGTGTGTGCAGGTGCTGTTCACACTGCGGGTGTGTTCCCAGGCTGTAGGGGACACAGTCGTGGAAGTGTGTGTGCGCGCTGTTGCACAGNCAACCTTGGGTGGTAGCGACGGCAGTCCCTTAACTGAAGGGAGGAGACAGAGAAAGTCGTTCCCCCACCCCTACCCCGCCCCGTCACCTCGCGACCCCCACCTGCCTTAACCCAGCAAGCCGTGGCGGAGACCGCATTTCAACATGGGCCCATTTGGTTCCGAGGCGACCTGCCCCTGGACCCAGAACCTGTGCTCGTGGAACGGCCTTCCGGTCAGTGCCTGGGCCCCCCCAGCCGGCCTGGTCTGCAAGTGGCCTTCTCCATTCGTGCCCAGAATACCCCCTCCTTCTCCTTGTCAGCCAAGTCCCTCGTGATTCAGGTTAATGTCACCCCTGTCTTCCTGTCGCCCCCTCGCTGAATCATCTTGGCTGTTCACCTGTCTGTCTCCTCACCTCCACCTGTTTGGGGATTGGCTACCAGGGAGTAGGGACTGTCCCTTATTCCCCTGGGGCATCCCCGGTACCCCGCGCAGAGCCAGCTGTGAGAGGTGCTCGGGGTTTGCTGAGGGAATGGACAGTTACTGTCTCCCAGCCATCCTGCCCTCCGGTGGAGTCTGGAGGCGAGAACTGTCATCTAGGTGGAAGGGGACCACGGAGGTCTCCCCAGCCCACCCTCCATTGGTCAGATGAGCACCTGGGGCTCAAGATGGGGTAGGCATGGCCTGGAGAAGGACTATTTCAGTCTGTCCATGATGGCTCAAAGTGGATATGCCGCCAAAAATGATAGGGGAAAAAAAAGAGTGGGTATGCCCCAAATGTTTGTTGAGTGACTGAATGATTGAACACATGGATAAATGCACAAGTGGGTGAGGAGATGCTCTCTCTGGGGCGCTTTTGGGTCCCTCCAGGGACAGAAATCTTAGTTATTTCCTCTGCGGGCCTCACACTCACTTGACCTATCAGCACTCCTGGGACATTTACATTGTATAAGCAGAGCCTGGGCACATGTGATGCCCTGAAAGTGCCTCTTTCTTCTAAAAGGGGAACTACCCCAGGCCAGGGGAGATTTTCCAGAAGGCCTGGTGTGGGAGGTGGGGGAATCTTCTTGTTATTTCCAGCTGGCTCCACCACCCCAGTCTGTGTTAACCCATGGTGAGGTTTAGGCCCATTCTCTGAACCCACTGGGCCTTGGTTTCTCCCAAGTGTAAAGAAGGAGGCTGTAACCCATGCCTCAGCTTCTCAGGTCATGGCGTGAGGCTCAGCGGCAAGCAGCAGGAATACGGCCGGGCTGAGGGCACAGGGCACCGCCAATCACCCCACGTGCCCTGGTCAGACCCAGTCCTGCCTGCCTCCCCTGCTGCCTTCAGCCCCTTAGCTCCCTGGACAGAGCCGGAGCGAGAGGAGAGGGAAGGGCCCCCGTCCTGAGCCCGGAGACTGGGTCCTCACTGGCGGCAGGCGCCGCTCCCCGGCCTCACAGAAGACGGATCGCTCCCTTAATCACTCTGGAAAAGAACCCCAAGCCGATATAATATTATAATTAATTAATTCACTAAAAAGGTATTAAATTTCTCTCCCCCCTGTGGATATTATCTGAATTCATTGACCTTTAGAAAAATCACCCTCTAATTGTAACCAGGTCCAAAAGCATTTGCAGCCCGTCCCTTTTACATTAATAATATCTTCCCGGACTCGGATCTGGCTGCTTAAATATTGTATAAATTCCACTGCCCCCCTCGGAAAAGAGAGAGCAAAGAAAAAAGATGAGGCTGGAGGAGCCCAAGAGGTGGATGGGGGCTGGACCCCGAGAGGCTAAGGTCTCATGAAGTGAGGGGCAAGGGGTGAATTGAAGGGGCTCTTTCTAGCTGCTTCAGGTGGCATGGAAGGAACCCAGGCTTTGAGATGGGGAGGAAGGCATGGGTTGGGAACAGGAGGGTTGAATTCAGAGTTCGTTTTTTAGGATGCTGGGGCAGGGAAGATCCATAGTATATATCAGACTCTCATCCAAGCCAGTGGCTCCAAACAGTGAAGAACCTCTGATTTAAAGGACCAGTGGGTGATGGAAAGAGAAATTCCAAAGAACATTCTGAGCTCCATCTTCTTCCCCCACTCAGGATCCCCCCTCCCACCTGCTGCAGGCTTCACTCCACTTCTGACTTCCCAGACAGCCCTGTTCTACAGATGATAGGCCAGGCCTCGAAGGAGAGATGCTGTGGGATGTCCAAGACTTCCTCATGCTGAGGAGGTGGGGACTAAGGAGCTGAGAGCCAGCACCAGGCCTCGCCCATTCTCAGCAGGGCCCGGAGTCCACTCTTGGCTTCCCGTCTGAATGGGTAGGGAGATGCTCCGCGGATGGCAGGGGTGGAAAGCCACCTTCCTGTGTATACAGCGTGATGAGTATGTCTGTCCTACTCCTTGTCCTCAGATCCCGGCTCCCTCCCAGTACAGGAGATGGGAAGCTGGCAGCTGGCAGGGAAGGCCAAGCAGATGAAGGGAGTGGAGCGGAGGATGGCAAGACCCTCACCCAGTGCACCTGCTTGGCTTTGGGGCTCCACGGGGGACCCACAGGAGCTGCAGCTGCTCATCCTCCCCTGACCTGGCTTGGAGCCCTACCCAGACACCACTGCCTTTTCACATTTTTGTTTGCTCTCTAGTCGCTGGGGGCTTCCTCTGTGAAATGAGGGGGTTCAATGGGTCCATCTCTGCTTTCACACCAGTCCTCACCTCCTCCACCTGTTTACAGTTTCCCCCCTCGTGGACCTGACGTCTGGAAAGGTGTTGTGTACCACGTAAAGAGTGTGGATGAAGACAGCACCCTCTTCTTAGTTAATCAGAGATGTTCATAACCTGCAGTCAGAAACTGTTGGCCGACTCCAGCTACTAGCTAAGGGTCGCACAGACCAGTCTCAGATACGTGAACACTTTCTGGTGGCTTGCTGAAATTCTGGAGGTACTCTGTGTCTGCTGAAATCAAAGGTAGGATTGTAGCTTGAAAAGCACAAGCAAGCGGAGACCGCTCACCTTCTGGCCACTGCCCACGCCTGGCTCTGAGCGCCCTCTTGTGGGAAGAACCCACACCCACACCCTCGGTACTGCCCGTGGGCCGTCCAGACCCTGCTTCCCAAGCTGCAGGTGGTGGCCAGGCTGAAGGAACCTGGGGGCAGGAAGCCGGTAGGCAGGTGAAGATACCATGGTCTCGAGGGGCTGTTTGAAGAAGTGGGAGGGCAGCTCTCTACTCCCGAGTCAGTCCCCAGAGTGAAAAGAGAGAACAGATTGGGGGAGGAGAGAGCCTCAATGGCCTGAGGAGGGCCTTGGAAGGTTTCCACAGCCCCCACGCCTCCCCCAGCCAGAGCTCAGGACCTGCCTCAGGAGAAAGGCTCCCAGGCCCTGGGCAGGTCCCGGCTGTGGGGTGGGGCCTGGAACGGAAGGAGGTGCTGGCGCTTCTGCGGGCTCCAACTCACAAAGTCATCCACAGCTCCATCTGACCTTGAGATTAATCCCCGGCCTGGCCGTCATCAGCACCCACACGCCTGGCCCCCTTTCCACCTCTCCCTCATATGTTAATTGCTCCAACGTTGATTTGATCTCCCATTCTGCAAGGAGGAAATTGCCCTCTTAGCCATTTTCATCCCGGGATTTTTTTTTTTTAATTAGGCCCCGTTGTCCTCACAGGGCCCCAAGAGAGGGAAGCCATTTTCATCTTTGCCTGAAGAGACTGTGGGAAGTCAAGAGAGAGAGACGGGCAAAGCCTGGTAAAGACGCTCTCCTCCCTCCCCACAGACACCCTGGGCTCAAGAGGCTCACCCCCTCACCCCTCTCTGCCCCAAGCCCATTTTCCCCACCCTGAGTGAGGTCATAAAGTCCCAGGATCTTGGAGCAGAGGCACCCCGGAAACTATTGTGGGGTGAGGGAGACTTTAGCCCAGAGGAAAGAGTTTGGGGGGTCTCACTGCCTGAGGGTGCCGGAGCAGTACCTTCGCCCTGGTTCCACCCGGCCTCCTACGGTCCCACCTCCTCCCAAACTGTAGTTCACACGGGTCCCTCTTTCCCTTAACCCACAGGGCAGAGCCCCTTATAACCTAGGGAGCTTGTCCTGGGCCTTGCCCCCACAGAGCAGGCAGCCCACCTATGGAGAGGAGAGAACTGGGGGTGGGGACAGGAGAAACATGCCCACAGTCCTCGGCCCACAGTGCCCAGGAGCAGTAGACTTGGTTTCCAAGCAACGGGGTCTCCCAGTCACCCTGCTCGGCCAACTCAAGCCTCAGCTGCAGGTGTGAGACCGGCGGGGCGGCAGCGCCACCTTGTGGCCGCGGGGAGGGACACAGCCCCCAGCAGCACCCAAGACCCCTAAGTGAGGCTACATCTCTAGCTTCCGAGGGGGCCCTGCTAGAGAGCTGGGGGGTTCCAGGCGATGGACTCAGTCCCTTCTGTCTGTATCTCCCATCGCGGATCCCCTTCGGGGGCATTGTAACTGTGAGCCCATTGGGTTGACTCCTCCCCAGTTCTGTTGGCCCCCAGACCACCCCCAAAGAGACAGGACAAGCCAGTACAAAGCACAGTGTTTACTAAAGGCACAAAGTGGGGAACCTCGAGGGGAGCTGCTCTTCCAGCAGTGACCCCACATTCTAGCTTGAACCCAGCGCCCCCTCTTCTGGCCACCCCCGCCCTCACACCACCAGGAGGAGAGCTGTTAGCACCAAAGAGGGGTGGGGGGCCCCACCTGTGGGTGGGGGAGTGCCAGAAAGGCAGGCCTGGGCACCCCTGGACCAGTCCATGCCTCCAAGAAGGAACTTCTGGACCCCTGGCTCCAACGGGTCCTCCTTCACTGGTGGGGGGGCCAGGTGCGAAGGTAAGATGTCTTCTTACCCCCAGCACACCCTGACCCCCTCTGCGGCACCCCCTCACCTTGCCCTCGTGATTTCATCTCTAGGAGGGGCCGGGCTGCAGGCCTATTCCTGCCTGGCCCGGTGAAGAGGGCTGCCCCCGGGCGGGGGGCTTCCAACCCACGGGCTGCCAAGCGGGCTCTATGTCCACACGGGGTGGGGGGGCCAACAGGAGGAGTGAGGCCGGGCAGGGGCTCCTTCACACACAAGTGCCGCCTGAGGGTGGGGGGGCGGTGGTCCTGGCCCTCCCAGCCCCCAGGCCCGCCCCTGTCGCCCAGGTCACAGCACGTCGCCCTCCTCCATGCTGAAGCTGCTCCTGCGGCTGCTGGCCTTGGAGGCCTCAGGGGACATGGTGGAAAAGAGAGGGTCAGAGGCCAGCGGGAGCAGGGAGTCGTCTAGGAGCATGAGGTCCAGATCTTTCTTGGACAGGTCGGGGAACGGGGAGGCATGCTCTGGCCCCAGAGGTTCGGGGTAGCCCGGGGGCCCTTCGTTGCCCCCGCCCCCAAAGCTCAGGTTGTGGCTGAAGTCCAGGTGGTGGAATGGGGACGGTGGCTGGGGCGGCTGGGCTGGAGGGGGCAGCGGGGCCTGGGGGGGCAGAGCTGGCAGTGGCTCGGGGTCGGGGACCTCGGCCCCCAATAGCAGGGCCTCCCCCGGGCCCTCCTCACTGGGCAGCTCCTGCTTCACCACCTGCTGGGCCAGCTCGGCCATGTTCATGCCGGAGGGCGAGGTGGTGGGCAGGCCGTGCACCCGAGCCTGCATCTCCAGCTCCTGCGGGCAGGACAGACAGAGGCTGGAGGCACCCACCCCTGGGAACCTGCTGCCACCCACCCCAGCCCCCGCTGCTGCCCTTGACCCTCCCTTTGTGACACCCAAGACGGCAAAATATCTCAGCTGGGAGCAAGTATAGGGTAGCTCTAGAGTCTTTACCAGCGTGTTTTCCAGCTACAAGTCGCAACTCATTAGTGGGTTGGGAAACCACTACAGTTGAGTCTTGACCAGCTCTCTTTCTGTTTTTTTTTTTTAATTGAAATAGACTTGCCTAGACTAGACTAGACTAGAAATTATCAGAATGCATCACATCTATTAAGGATGAGGGTTCTTTCATGAAACTTTGATTTTTTTTTTTTCACTTTGAGCTGACTATGTGTGCTGGATTGCAATGTGAATCGTATTATCTACCATAAGAAACAGAAAATCTTTGAAGCTGCAGTCCAATCGCCCTTTATATAGGTGACCAGTGTCAGGCCCAAAGAAGACAAAAGGCCTTCAACAACAGAGCCAGGACTAGATGGCTCTAGGTGGTAGCATACACTTTCCCAAGCCTTTGTTCTTTCTCTTGCTCACTGTGGGCACTCCCTGCCAAGTAATTCCAGCTCTCTGCCTCCCACAGAGGTAGGTTTACCCTTTCCTGCCCCCCTTGTGGGGGCAAGCACATGCATCAATGCAAGCACGTGCATTGATCAAGGAAATGTGAGCAGAAGGGGCCCTAAGAGTGACATGGGACAGCTCTAGATGTGCCTGTCCACCAGCCTGGATCCTAAAATGAGAGTCTTGCAGAGCAGACCCTCCAGCTCACATCTGCTGCTTAAAGTTGCTGGGGATTGTTTGTTACCCAACAATAACATCCTGATACGTCCTCCCTCCCCATGGGGATCATCCCTCCATCTCCAATTTCAGAAGTGTAAGCACTGCCCCTGGGGTCAGGACTCAGGCCAGAGGTCAAGAGTCAAGCTACCCAAGAGGACCAGGTGCAAGGCCCAGACCTGGATACGGAGCCAGAGCTGCTTGTTGGTCATCTCCAGGCGCCGAGAATGGTTCTCCAGCTCCCGGGACTTCTGCAAGTCCTTCTGCATCCTCCGGATGTAGTCGACAGAGGCCTTGAGGATGGTGCCCTTGTTCCAGCGCACGTCCCTGCAGGCCAGGCAGAATCAGAGGCTCATGCTCAGAGGAGGGGGCAAGGATTTGCCAGGAGCTTCGTGGGTGGACATAAAACCCTGCTGTGGTTTCAGAGTTGATGTCGCCTGTCCCAACTTTGCCCCAAGCCCCAGACCTGACCAACCCCTATTTACGGAGGAGGCCAATCTCCATCTGCAAATGGGCCCTCCCAAGTGACTGTGGTGCCACCACCCACCTCATTAATCCCAAGTGAAAGGGTTAGTAGCTCAGACTCTTTGCGACCCCATGGACTGTAGCCTGCCAGGCATCTCTGTCCATGGGATTTCCCAGGCAAGAACACTGGAGTGGGTAGCTGTTCCCTTCTCCAGGTGATCTTCCCGACCCAGGGAGGGAACCCATTCTCCTGCATTGCAATCCCAGGAACCAAGCAATTCAGAGCAGCCTCCTTCCCCAGGCCTCCCATTTCTGCCACCAAAACCCACACCTGTTCTCGGCCCTCACGACTCCTGTCCCCAGACCACCTCTGCACCAGTCTGGTGGCCTCAGCAAACTTTCCTAGCATGACTCTTCCTCCAGGAAGCCCCCCGACCCCACCCTTACTTCTGGGACCTGGACTCCTCCTTCCTGTCTTGAGCCTTTCTTAGTTGGGAGATGGAAGGTTCTTCTTTTCCCAAACATGATAAGATCTTTAAGAAGCAAAAGGAGATTTTCTTCCCATCCCTTCCCCCTGGCAACCAGCAGATAATTCCTGTGAGCTGCTGCCCTCCCCTCCCCTTCCTCCAGGAAATCCACTCACAAGTCATTGGCCTTAGGGATCAGCATGCCCAGCTCCTTGATGCGGTCATTGATATTGAACCTCCGTCGCCTCTCAACTAGAAGTAACAAATTTCAGGGGAAACAATTAGGGAGATGAGGACCCCACCTGGGGAGAAGGGTCCAGCCCAAGGAGGGATGCCTTAGTCCTTCTGGGAAGGAACAGATGACCACTACATGGGCGAAGAGCCAACTCATTGCAAAGACCCTGGGAAAGACTGAGAGCAGAGGAGAAGGGGACGACAGAGGACAAGATTGTTGGATGGCATCTCTGACTCAATGGACATGAGTTTGAGCAAGCTCTGGGTGATGGTGAAGGACAGGGAAGCCTGGCGTGCTGCAGGCCATGGGGTCTCAAAGAGTCGGACACGACTGAGCAACTGAATCACCACCCCCACAGCCAAATAGGGTGGCTATGCGGGTGGGGGGTTAGGGGCAGGCCAGACATGATTAAGGAGGGGAAGACCTAGCAGACAAGGCTGCCTGGAGAGCCTCTCTCCACTGCTCAGAACCTCCACGCCCTAGAGAAAACAGTCTGATAAACTCATTCCCTCTGAAGTTCTGGGAATTTCATGAATATATCTTCCCTGGAGCGCCTCTCTCCCCTACCTCCTAGCAAGGACTGGTGGGAAGAGACTGAATCCAGTCACGCCAATGCCAGGATTTTAAGGCCTCATGTAAGGAATCCTTCCTAGAAGCTGCAGGTCAGAGAGTAGCTTTGGAGCCAGCCCAGGTGAGAGGAAGAGGAGGGGCAGGGGAGACTCACTGAGGTTGTGATTGTCTTTCTTCTGCCGCTCCTTGGCCAGGGCCCGGCTCTCAGCATCTGGAGAACAGGAGAGGAGAGCTGGGAGGGGAGGCGCTGGGGAGACCCAGCCGGGATGGGGGCACGCCGCTGGGAGGCAGCGGGGCGGTACCTGTGAGTTCACGCTTCTGCGTCAGGTCGGCTGGGCAGGAGCTGCTGGTGACGCCCACCAGGGAGGCGGTGACCTGGGGGTCCCCACTGTACACATTCAGGTGACTGCTGGACAGGGGCAGCTGCAGGAAGAGGCGGGGAAGAAGGCTCGGTGAGCGGGCCCCGTTCTGCGGGGCGGTGTCCCCAGGGCCCATCGCCCCAGCAACAGCACTTCCCCGGGACAGCCGGGGAGGCTGCGCTGGGGTCAGAGTCCAGACAGAGTCCAGAGCTGAAGAAGAGGTGGCCCC